CCCCCCCCCCCTGTAAACTCAGAATTGAACCTTGAGTCGTCGTGCAGGGGGGCGAGTCACGTGACCGCGCCCGTTTGGTTAATAAAAAATGAAGCAGTTTTGAGAGATACCGTATTGCGGGGACGTGCTTGGCAGACTTTTGATTTCACTTGTTGGAAGTAGAGCGGAGTAGAGAGGTACGAACGTTAACCTTTTAGGTTCCTGCGGCGGTGCACTCGAGGCAAAGGCGACAAGAACTGCTAATAGGAGCGCGCATTCTACCGGCGTTTTCACTCCGTACTTTCGGAAACGTTTTGTCGGTGCTGATGGCCGTGCTATGTATGGTACTCTACTTCGTTCCGACGTTGTTTGTTGGTGCCCCTGCTTCTTTTATTTTTGATGTCGCTTTCTAACTGGAACTCCCTGCGTGGAAGACCCACAAGCTGTGGGAGTTCGCTGTAGTCTAAAACCGCTTGCTGATGCGTTTGCGGCTTACTCTGTTCAGAGCTGTTTTGTTGGCGATGTTGGCTACGACATCGGGTATCTTCGTGTCCTTGTAATGTACCAGCCTTTGGTCCTTGTGATGTGATTTATATAGACCTAAGGCGAGGTACAGCAGTAGTCTTAATTCTTCGTTGACCTTATTAGTTGTGCTGCGTTTTGGGGTTCTGCCATTCAATGCATGAGAAAGCACCCTAGGGCCACACTGATGTTTTGAGTCCACAGCCCACAGCAGCATAAGACTATTAATAGTGCTGTATCCACAGCAGTAACATTACAGCAGTGCACCGCCACACCGAGGCCAACGCCAAACTTGGGCAAATTGCCCATCATGTGCACGTCGCCGCCCGCCTGTCTGTGCGGTCACCGCGTGGTACGTCTCCACCCCATGAGCATGCATGTTCGCATCTACATATCTTGCCGTCTCTCGTCTCATGCAAAATGTGGAACACAAGGATCGTCGGTGGCGCGTTGGATCGATCGTAGATCGTGACCAGATCGATCGTAGAACGTCTTGCGGGGGGACTGACGCCAAGAATTCTTACAGTGGGGGTGGTGTTCCAGTGTGCGAAGCCGCTACCCGACAACTCGGAACCAGCAACCAGCAACGACAAAGGAGAGAGCTGACTCGCGTGTCGTCGTGTGGAGCAACCAGGAGCCTCACCGTGTGGGTAGCACGCACCGACAAGGATCACAGGGAACGCTCTTTTCCTTGCAGCAGCAACAAGCTTGCAGCCAAAGCCAGCCGTATATCAGCTCGAGCGTCAAACAAACAGCACGTGCACTTCAACCTCGGACCACACATCATGACTCCTCGGCGGCAACAGCAACAGCAGCAGCGACAGGCGACAGCAGAGGGTGGCACGACGGCTCGGAACCCTTCGGCACCATCAAGATCACGCCTCCAAGGTTCAAGGGCTGCGTGTTCCATGCTCACGGCGGCGGCGGTGGCAGCAGTGACAGCTCCGCTTTCGGCCGAGGCCTGGGTTTCACATGCGGCTGCGCGGAGCTCACGCCAGGCACAGCCATTAGGCTGGACGAGCAGGGGTAGAAGCGGATACAATCGCTGTCAGGTTCAGCGGCAGCGAGGTAGTGGTGGTGGCGATCGTGAGAGTTCGCAGCTGTCTGGGCGTGGGGTTAGCGGGAGGAGGAGGAGGGTCGTGTCATGTCGCAGCCAGGCCGTTGACGAAGCTTCATCCACAGGTGCGCACATGTCTTTCTTTTGCGAATCATCTCGCTTTCGTTCTGTCCCAGCAGCAACAGCTGCATAATATGTGCGGTAGGTTGCATTCCAAAGCTGTGGAGTGACATAGTCGACATGGAGAGAATGTTGGGTTTGTTTTTATGCTACTTTTTCCCGAATCTCTGGGCGGGCGCGCGCCCGTTTTGTCTCTCTCAAGCTTTGCGCCAGGTCTGCTGTGCTCATGGACGTGGTCGTTACAAACCACAGCAGTATTACCGCTGTGTCGCGTACTTCTCGTCGTCACCAGCCATATTCCTACTGTTTACCCCACAACGCCGGCGCTCCATTTTCCTCGTTGTTTTGCGATCCGCGGACGATGACGGCGGCGTCGGTAGAGTACAAGCCAATGGAGGAAGGGGACGAGGTTCTGATCGACTTCGACGAGAGCGAGTTCGACGAGTCGGAGGACTTCTTCGCCGTCGAGGGAGATGACGAAGACGAGGAAGAGGACGAGAGCACACGGTGAAACACAGCAGTAGAAGTGGAATGGTATGGTATGCATTCCAAGTAGTGGCGCTCGATCAATCTCCAGGCGAGGGTTGTGACTTTTGGGAAGTAGTCGGCAAACGACGAATTTCCGTGTTGAGGAGCGCCTCCTCCGCATTTTCCGTTAACGACGGCGGTTGTCTGCGTATGTTCCTTTTGCGGGAGTTAGCTGTAGTGCGACAGGAAGCGTTGTAAGCCGACTCGAGCAGCTCGTATGTTCGCGGCGCTCTCCGCTTGGGCCGCCAGAAAATGGTACTCGGCGGTCTTGGCCTATTAGCAGGCGTCGGGGTCAAATCCTCAAGCCATTTCCTTGTGTGCAGTTTTGTCAACTTAACCCCCCCCGGTATACCTTGTTCTTTCTTGTGCCAATGTGAATCCCTCTCGTCTTGGGGGTAGTTAGCCTGCGAGCGCGGAGGGCGTCCGCGTCAGTTAGACCGGTACGGACGTCACAAGGTACTCAGCAGAGACAGGAACGCCTGTTAACTGTGAAGACAACACCACCACCACCACCACCAACACCAACCGCAAGAGCTGTTAACGGAAGTCTACAACCCTCCCTCCACCTTCCTTTGTGTCCGCGCGCGTGTTACAGCGGTCCCGTGCAAGTGATCGGGGTGGAGGAGGCCATGGACCGCGTTCGGGAGCTGAAGAAGCTCGGCCCGCCGGTGCCAGTGAAGGGAGAGCGCGCCCGCTCCAAGCGGAGGTTTCCCGTCGTGGCCGTCATCGGTGAGTACAGAACGCGTAACCACTTTCGAAAAACTTGCCTACAAAGATCTAGGAGTTTGGGCATATTGACAGTTGCTCTGTCAAGAATACTACACTAAAAAGCTACACAATGGTTGCCAAGAAACGAGCGTTGGCCGAAATGAGAGGGTCTTGAGTGGTGGTACGGTCTGTAAGCGCATGTAGCGATGCCCCCGACCAAGGCTTTGTTCATATACTCACGGCAGTTTCGTTTGGTTCTTTTTCATGACTGTGTTGTGTTGACTGCCGCGCTCTTGGTCAGCCTCGCCCCTATTTGTTTGGTGTTATCTTGAGAAGCGCAATGTAAACATGCTTTCTCGTGGCGCTGGAGGGTGGCACCGCCCGTCCTCGGCCTGGAACTTTCGCAGGGTGTTCTATGGAGTAAACATGTTGGATGAAGCATGCAATCGGGGAAGCTGGGTTAGGGTAAGGGATAGGTTATGCGTACCTCCTCCCTGTTCCTTTTTCCTCATCAAGTTATTAACTAATCGCGCGAAGGCGGCCCGTGGTCGGCCGCATCCTTCGTCGGTATTTGTCCTCGTCATGCCGAATGTACGAGATGCTGCTATCGTCCTCTCTTTCTTGCTGTTTCCGTCGGTAAGACACTTCAATGTTTGGGCGTGGGGCCTCTCCGAGATCTCGTATCGTCGAGGCTTGAACAGCGTGCAGTCAGTCCTTTTGTCGTCCTCTTGGCCATCGACAAGTGCACAACGCCGCCGCGCGCTTTCTCGGCGAAACGGTATCTTGCCTCTATCAAAAGGTCGCCCTAACGTAGGGAAGAGCACGGTAGTGAACCGGCTGGCGAAGCGCTTCAAGGACGGGTCGATCGTGTTCGACGAGTCCGGCGTTACGAGGGACCGGACGTACAAGCGGGCGTGGTACTGCGGCAAGGACTTCGACGTGGTGGACACGGGGGGGTTGGTGTTTGACGACAAGGGGGGGGACGTCTTCGCGAAGGAGGTGGGAAATGGGTTTGTTTGTTGTTGTCGTTATCATCGTTGTTGTTGTCGGTAGCGGCGGTGGTGATGGTCGTGGTGGCTGTTGGTGTGTGTCCGTATCAAATCGCTTGCGGGTAATCGGTTTTCGAGATTCATCGTACTTGCGTCTGTTTTGTGGGCTGTCTCAGGTTGTTTTCCCTCCGGAGTACAGTACATTGTCCGCGTCACGCGTCGTCGCGCCTACTTTCAGAAGGGCGCTACTCGTGCAGTCCCCGTAGTGCCGCCTGGCGTATGAATCAGGCGTCCACTGTCGCCGTTTGGTGTTGAGCCCTGAGTGGATATCCGAAAAAAAAAACGATTTTCTTGTGGAATAAGGCTGGTTCCCGGGTTACGGTTCGCCCAAGTTCGGATTTGATTTATTCAATTTCCCTCTTGGCAATCCCGCTTCGAGCCACAGTTAATCTCTCTTTACAGCAGTCCTCAAGGGTGAACCGGCGGAAGAACGTTTCACCCAATCAGGAAGAGAGTTGTGTGGATCGTGCATTTTTGTACCCGAATCTGGATGTAAAATCGAGATTCGACAGTTCGGGTAAGACCCCCCCCCGCGCTACACACCGTAATCCCTTGGCTTGCAGATCAGGCAGCAGGCGCTGATCGCGCTTGAGGAGGCCACGGCGGTCATCATGGTGGTGGACGGCATGGCAGGCTGTAACGTGCTGGATCAGGAGATCGCTCGGTTCTTGCGGCAGCAGAAGGTGCCAGTCATCCTCGCCGTGAACAAGTGCGAGTCCCAGGTAACGCGAGGAAAGAGAGGAGACGAGAGGAGACGAGAGGGGAGGGGATAAGAGTAAGCGTGTGGTGTCGTGTGTGGTTACCGTTACCGCCCAGGACACGAAGTAGACATCAAGTTGCCCCAGAGAAGTCGTACGCAATATGGGCGGCTCGTGGGGTAGTTGGTTGGTGAGTGGGATGTAGTTGGGGTGTTTTTTCGTGGATCTAGTGCGTTTTTTCGTTTTTGCCTCCCACGCTGCGGGCCCATTTGTTTTTTTATCATGTGGTGTCGTTTTGTTGTGAGAATGAACTGTGCTTAGCTTGATCTGTGGAGAGCAAGTGCAAGAAAAAAGTTGGCGAAAGTTTGTTTAGCTCTGTGCGAAAGATAAGGGTAGAGGGTTTCGAAGGAACGTCTTGAACATTGTGAGCTTGAGCAAGGGTCACATGCTAGTCGTGACGGTATCGGAGAATGCTCGAGCTCGTCTGCAAAGCCCTTCGCGCCTTGTCCCAGTATGGTTGATCGCACTCCTGCTGGGGGATATTCACCACTACACACTTCCGAAAATTCCTCGGTGGATAATCCCACGTAACTAGCCTTGGCTTGCGTGTTCAAACCTGGCCAAGTACGGCCAAGTACGTAAAGCCACCTATGTATAGGATGTCTGAGATACCGCACTCGGTATTTGGTCACGAGAGGGATATGCTTGTGAATATGCGGCCGACTCATGTCTGCGTCGTACGCATGTTTCGTAGATTCTCTCTCTCTCCTACCACCACCAAGTGAATCCAGCAGCATTCCGTACCCCATTCGTCTTGTCGGCCCCTCCGTGTTGCACCTGTCATTTGGTCGTGGCTTAACAGAAGTATGGAGAGATCCAGACGGCGGAGTTCTGGTGCCTCGGTCTTGGCGAGCCTTGGCCAATCAGCGGCCTTCACGGGGACGGGGTGAGGGCGGTTTCGTCCGGGGGAGGCAGAGCACCCCGTTGAGCAACACTCGCTGCAGAGCCCCGCGCGTGCTACGTTCCAACGACGCTCCAACGACGCGCGCGCAAATGCGCTAAAAAAGGCGCCTGGAAATAACAGTCGACAAGTATCCTTTCCGAGTTTACGCGATGGCTGTTGGCGTCCTGAGCAGGGCTCTTTTTTTCTTTTGTAGGGCTTTTTTTTTTTGTCTTTGAACCTCCCCTCGTTGTCTTCGTCTCGGGTTTCGAGTTCCGTCCAAGCTCCGCATCAGGTGTTTCGGAGATGGAACCAGCTGTGGGTTGGACGCGTTGGGTGGTTTGTGCGCTGGCAAGCAGCACCTGTGTAGGCTGTTGTTGGTACCATGACGTAGCTGACGGACCGCACTGAGACCTTTTGTATTCATGAGGAAACGGTGGACACTTCGGACGAGGGTTGCCCACGTTCCCTTGTTTTGGGTGATGGTTTGTTCCCGGTGCTTTCAATTTTGTAGCGCGGCGCGCAGCAGCACCTGCAGCACCGGCGGCGGCATGAAAGATAGACGCCTGGAATGTTTCGTGAAAACATGCCGGTTGCGCGTGACGTGTAGTTGGTGCCGGTTCTTATTCGCGCTTTGTTGAGCGTTCCGGCCCAGGGGTGGTCAAGGGCCCCTTGCTATTCGAATTGACGATTTGCTATGCATGACTCGAGAGGCACAGCAAGAGATTATCGACTTACGAGTGTAGTTCCATCTGCGACGCTCAGTTGCGACACGTGTGCGTCCCCGAATGCGTGGACATGGAAGGGATTCTCGTTTCGTAAGTCGTCGCGGTTTTTCCTGCCCGCCTTGACTTAAAACTTCGCGTCTGTGCATGGCGGTATCATCTACAGCATGATAAACAAACACGACCTACGACAAGTTTGCGTTTCACAAAAATACGTTTCTCATCACCGCCACCGTTATCATGTCATCCGTGGTGTCAGATCTACGACATGATGGACAACGTGGCGGAGCACCTGTACGAGGTCGACGAGAGCGCGGAGGAGGAGGACAACATCAACGTCGCTATCGTGGGGAGGCCAAACGTTGGGAAGTAAGTGGTGTTCAGCGCCGCCCCCACCACACGCGCACTTTTTGGTTCGACTCCTTGTACGTTTCTTCACGCAGCCTGGGCGTTGTATGGTTGAATTGGGTTGGAACAGTGGAACGGGTAGCAGGAGCGTCGCTGGCGCCAACCACGAGGCATGAGGTGACGGTTACACGAGTGCCTTGTTGTGGCGCGGCGTGCAGTAGCGGCTTGGACGGAACATCTTCCGGGTGAAGTTGCCAATTCTTGCTCCATACCATGGTGTAGCTGCTAGGGTCGCATTTCCTTTCGACACGTGTCGTTTCACCCGAGTCGGTAACTTCAATACTGCATCAAAAACATCGTTGAAGAATACTATCTGCGCGACCACTGTAGCTGCTGGGCGTACTCTTCTGATGTGTCATGGGATGCGTTTATCAGTTTTTTCACTCTCGAAGACGCCTAGACGGAACAGCGTTTGTAGCATGTGCAACCACTCGGGTACAAGAGTGCCGCCGATGATCCTGCCGGCGCCCGTCGCTGTTGTTTATCTTGTTCCTCCATCCGCGTCCCTCCCTGCCCCTCCAACAAACAGGTCCAGCCTCCTCAACCGGCTTTTCGGAGAGACGCGGTCTATCGTTAGCGACGTGCCGGGGACCACCCGCGACTCCATCGACGCCATGTTCGAGCGGGGCGGCAGGACCTACCGGCTTGTGGACACGGCTGGGATCCGTCGCAAGGGCAAGGTCAGATGAACGGTTGGTCCGAACCGGCACGAAAACCCGGTCGCGGGGTGGGGTGTACCCTCATTAGCATGCATGACTGTGGCGCATACCAACATCTCCAACGTTCCCCCTGCATCAAGGTATATTTTCGTCGGGGTAGGGGTGGTTGTCCAAATGCCGAACAGTACAATTACCTCTTAACGCCCTCTCTCCAGGCGCAACTTTCAAGCAGAGAATGATTTTGTTGTTCTCTTGACATTTGGTCATCGAATAACTGGAAGTTCTAGCACCGTTGCGTTGATTGTTGCGCATGTACTTCACTGTTTGCGAATATGTCAACGGCCTTGGACAGCTCTCCGAATTTGACCTGGGTGTTTTTTTTCAGTTTTTATTATTCTGGGAAATTTAGCGAGATACTGACCACATTATGGGTCCGGGCGGCCACCCTCCGTCCATTCATTCGGGACATGCAGCTAAGGATTCCAAGACATACGATGACACCCGTGATGCCATGTTTTTTTCCAATTTTGAATCCGTCCGATCTTATTGTATTTCGCGCACCAAAAAAAGTGGAGATGTTGTTGTGCATGGGCCATATCTTACGATCGATACTTTAACAACCATACATGACACTTGTGAGTCGCCACAGAGCATGAAAAGGTGTTATTTTTTTGTTTGCCTCGGGTGTTGTGCCCTCTCGGGAGGCATTTGGATTGCATCAAGCGCGGAGTGTGCTGAGTGGTTTGGCTTTTCTAATGAAGGGCAACAGCTCCAAGAGGACGTACGTCAGCATCGTGTGTGTCCATCTATTATAGCAGGCCATTCGGATGAAAAGCTCATTGAATATGGTTGATTGTGTTCCTGTGGTGATGGTGGTGGTCAGCGGTGGGACGCGCAACAAGGGGCCGGCCACATGGGCCCACCGACACCATCAACGCGAAACACATCGAAGCTACATAGTTTGTTCGTTCAACAGCCCGAAGCATGAGGGTTTTGATATGGCAATACGGCGGCGCGCGGGCGGCGGGCGGGGGGGGCAAGGGTTGATCACGCTCACCCGCCCCTCTTCTTTCTCGTTTTGGCTCCTCTCTGTTCCCAAGACGGCATGACAGTGTCGCCCAGAAGCATGATTCCGTGGCGAACGAATCGAACAGGCTAGCGCTTTCTAGCACCTTGCCCCAGCGCGATCGCCGCTTGATAGCCAGTTCAATTTGCCAGCCCTGCAAACGCGAGTGTTGGGCGCGACCATCGTTTGACAAGAAATAGGCCGGTTTAGGCCTCCTTCCCGGATCTGACTTTCACACGTTGGAAGCGCATTTCGTCCCTTGTTCCTGAAACCTCACCCATGCGAACCTCGACGCACGTGTTGTTGAAGGTGGACTACGGTAACGAGTTCTTCATGGTGAACCGAGCGTTTAAGGCGATCAGGCGAGCGGATGTGGTGCTGTTAATGGTTGATGTGGAGGCCGGCATCACCGACCAGGTGAGGCCGAAGACCCAACCAAGCCGGCGTTGAACACTTCCCGTCGCAAGCACGGGTGTACCTCGTTTTTTTCGTTTCTTGCTTTAGTGTTTGTGTGGTTTTGGCACGACGGAATAGACGGGTTTGCAGTTTTTTTTTTTTTTTCGGAAGTGTGGGCGATGGCGTAACAAGAAACCGGGGTACTTATTCGATTTTGTGGAAAGTAGCCCTATCCTACAGTAAGAGCGTGTAAACATAACACAAGTCTCACGGTAGTATGTACGAACATACCGTCGCCTAGGCGCAGAAGAGCGGCACAGCAACGTGGTTTGACGAAAGGGGAGTCCCTCGATATACCCTGAAAACACAAAGCCCAATTTTCACCTGATTCCGTAGCACCCTTCCAAATATTGCAGTCTGCATGCGTGCGCCCTTGGTTAGCGTGCATTTTCGACGTGCGCTGCTGTTGTTGGTGCGCCAGCCATTCCGACGCACAGCTAAACCATGCACGGAAGGGAGTGCGGACGGCGCGGAGAGACAAAGATCATCTGTGGATCAGCTCTCTCTAAGCCCATCCTTTGTCGCTGCCATTGCTCGTACATATGCATGGTTTTGGGGAAACTGAATCGTTGCCCGTTTTTGTTTGCTTGGCAACCTTGATATGCCTGAACTACACTGCTGTAACATGGTACACGGTTGAGATTGATTTGATCCATGCCTCCCGTGACCGCGTTGGCTCGCCTTTTCAACCAGGACCGTGTTTTGGCGGACCGCATCCAGTCGGACGGACGTGCCTGTGTGGTGGTGTGCAACAAGTGGGATCTGGTGGAAGACAAGGACGACTCCACCTACAACAAGGTGTGCAACCCCTTGCTGAGCGTTGGACGGGAAAGCCTCCCTTTTCACTCACTGCTCGTATGCCTCCTCCATTTTCTTTGAGAGGGTCCAATGTTGTGGATTTGGCCCTGGCGGATGGGGCATTGGCACCTACCTGCAGTCGAAGGCTGGTGCTACGTTGAGACAATGACGACGTTCAGCGACGATGGCGACGTTTGCTGCAATATTGATGGGGTTGGTTGTGCTTCTCGAAGACTATACCAGGTGTTTGGCGAAAAGTGGGACCGCACCGGTGTCCAACCAGCGTGAAGTCCTAGTCGCCTGCTCTGCTGCTATATCCCTTCCGCTGAGTTGGTCACCTGGTCGAGTTCATTTTCTTCTCTTCCTCACGTCGTCCTGTCCCCAATTTCTCCTTGGCCCCACCACCTCCATGCCCGCCACCATTGTTGCCTGTTGCGGCAAAACGTATACTTTTGGTTTGTGTTCCTTACAGGCAGTGGAATATGCGAGGCAAATGCTGTCTCCGGTTAAGTGGGCGGAGGTTTGCTTCACTTCAGCGAAGACGGGGCAGCGGTGCACCAAGGTCTGCAGCAGCCTGCTTTTTCAGAGAATATGGTTTGCCCAATAGAAATCGTCTTAGTGAAGAGCTACAAGTAGTAAAGCGGTGATGATGCCTCCGGTTGGTTGAGTCGCCGAACCATTGATACGGTCGGTAGTGCACGATGGACGTGTTAAAGCTGCATGCCCTGCTATGTTTCCATGAAAATACAGCTGACGACGACGCTTGAAGAGGTGTGGATAGCACGCACGACTCGTTTGGGGCCGACGTGTCCAGAGACTCGGGTGTAGTAGTCTACAGTTCAAGCCTACGTTTCGAGTTGTGGTGCAGAGACGGTGCTTTCTCAAGGCGACAGGTACAGCGGGAGTAGTCGTTCTCATCCAACTACCGAGGTGCTCCCTTTACTTAAGGTGCATTCATGAAGAGGCGTGATGCCGGCAAAACATGAACGAGAACGATGTCAAAGTACGTGAAGCGTGCCCAGCTACTTCCAACACACGGAGATCGATAATTATGCCCCCCCCCTTCCACTAACGCCCGCACCCTCTTTTCGGTTGGCTGATTGCGTACCGGCGCCACGAATTATCTTGACACCACCATCTCCCTCAGCTGTTCGATCTCGTGGACGAAGTGGCCGTTCAACACCGGCGGAGGGTCAAGACGAGTGTGCTCAACGAGGTACAATCACGCACAGGGTCGGCAATTTGTTTTCCACACAGTCTGGGCCCACTTTTGTTTTTTGGAGGAGACCTTGGGGTGCCCCACAAAGTCGTTGACTGTCACCGAATTGGGCCGACCAGTGAAAAATGGCAAGCACCGCAGGCGGCCAACTGGAGAATTCCTCCTGTGCGACCCCGGCGGGTGCGTCAAGCGTTCACCTATAATATAAATGCTGGCTCCTCTAAGAGGCCGTCAAGGTCCCTCGGGGTCTCACCGCGCGGTACGAAAAACTGTGAATGAATGAATGAATGTTTGCGTCGCTTCTAATCGGAAGACCAAAACAACGCACTTAAGGGTGCTGACCCCCGGAGGCGCGAGCAGTCGACCCATCGACTGCACTGCTTTAGATGCCCTCAGCAAGTTTCGGCTTGGTTGGTGCTTCCTGCGCTAACGATTGCCTGTGTCGGTGATCGGCCGTCTCAAGCACGAAACACGAGCACGCAGCAGGTGCTTCCCGACATCATTTTTTTTCGATCTCGATCAATTTGTGCGTAAACGTTGTCTATCCGCCATCAAGTTGAAGCCCGGTCAATCTACAGTAGCAACTGGTTCACCCTTGGGAGGGATTGACTTGGCAACAACAGGTTCGGGGCACAACTCGCCTACCTGCCCTGCGAAGGGTTATTCTTCCGCCTCGTTTCGACGGTTACATTTTTATTCGTCGCTGTGTGCGTTCATGATGACTCTCTTTTGGGACGCGCATCATTATCATCTGTCGCTGATCCGTGCTCCGCAGATGCAAGTGACATCGAACTCTTTACAAGTAGGATTCAACAAGGTTAGCGTCCGTACGTTAACGAGCAGGGTTTCATTGGTTGCACATCTGTATCCTGCCGGTGTGCTCTCCACGTCAGATTGACTAGAGTAGGCAATGGTTGTCCGTCTTACCGCCTTTTTGACCCAACCGTCGTCCTTGCGCACCGTCCTGCATCATGACGATAACACACTACCTAATAAAATGTGCTACTGACATTGTCTTAGAGGCCCAACACTGTTGCCTGCAGCTGCGTTGCCAATGCCCGGAATATGGGACAAAACGAACGCTGCTGTGCAATTTCGTTACTCTTTCGGGGGCGATTGAAGGAGTTGAATCAAGGAATTGGAACGACACCGGAGTGCTACAGGCACGGTGCTTTGGCTTCGCCCCGTCCGAGAGGTTATGAAATGAATCCTGCTTTGCGTTGTCACCGTGATCCTGTCCTGCGAGCATGTCAGAGGCGTGCGGGTGCAAAGCCCCTTTCCCCGCTATTCTATGCGAAAGCAGTCAGTACAGCAAAAGGCGTTACCGTGTACTTCGTTCGGTCCTTCTTGCGTTGGCCAGGTTCTTCGCGATGCCGTGCTTTGGCAAGCGCCCCCAAGCAAGAAGTCCTCTGGCGCGTCTCAGGGCAAGATCTACTACTGCAACCAGGTACGCTAGTGCTGGCGGGCAAAGGATAATATAGGAATGAATTGTGGTTTGTCGATGGACTTGTAAGAGCGTTCATGGCCTCTCGTAGGCATCTAGAATGAACGCCTCCATGTCTAAGATCACTCGGCAGGTTAAACGACAAGAGAATCGCTAAAACATCCGCACGATCTCACATCACGTTCTTCTTCCCGCATCAACCTGCTAAACTGGTTGCTTCGTTGGTTTTGTTTTTCCTTCATTTGCCTCATAGATCGCGACTCGCCCGCCAACGGTGGCTGTTTTCTGCAACAACCCGAAGCTGTTCGGCGACAACTACAAGCGCTATCTGGACCGCAAGTTCAGGGAGCAGGTCAGTTCTCGAACCTGGTGACGTTGGTCTCGCGATCGGCGAGCGTTCTCGCCTGTCCACGACCGTGAGGCTGCCGAACACCGGCCAACGCCGTTGTCGAGTGAATGCTGCTTGGAAGCGTTTGGTGTTCTGCAGTTTCGGTGGTTCTGCGTGTTTGCCGCCACTTCCTCTAGGCTTGCCGGTTGTGCTCATCGGGTCCTGAGGGTTGAGCGCCATGCGCGCACAGTTTCTTCGGCATGAAGCATGCGAATCTGCTCTCGAAAGCTGTCCCTACGCGGTTGGGTAGGGCGAGGATGGGGCTAACTACCTCCATCAAGGGTCCTCTCGCGTAAGTTGTAGAGACAGTTTGGTAGGCTGCTGACTTTTCGAAAACCAACTGGGTGGTCTACTGACTTTTCGCCTTATGTTCGACACGACTGGCCAGTCCAGTACGATGCCGGCAAAATATGCATGCACGTACTCATCTTTAAGCGTCGACGCGATCGATTGGTGGTGGTGGGGGTAGCCGCGCCGGTGGAGCCCCCTACCCCTTGACAGCCAGACACCCATCCCCCCCCACTCCGTTCCCCAGCTCGTTGCTTTCGTTCGGCATTTTCCCGCGTTCTTCGCCAATGCCGGTCACCCTGTCCCCCTCCCCCTTTTCTCTTCGTCTGATTCACGTACAGCTGGGCCTCAAGTCCACCCCGATTCGGTTCCTGTGGAGGGGCAAGAGGCTTCGAAGGATGGAGCAAGATAACCGGAGAAACCCCAAGCCCTACTCCGACAAGTAAACGCGAGACAATTCTGCCACGACGACGACACAATCGAACAGCAGAAACGTTGTGTCGCGCGGAATATCGGCCAGAAGCAAGCTGTTGCCGACCTTGCTTTGAGCCCTCTCTTGAGTGTGCGGCTACTACTGAACGACTGGATGTTTGAGGGCGAACGCCGTGCTGTGGTCGTTGACCTAGACATAGACTAGAGCGAATCATTGGAAGGGATTACTCATTTTTTTTCCGCCGTCAGCTGCTTTCCCTGATCAATATGGCACGGCTTGTTCGTTTGGTTTGCAAAGAAAGAAAGCACATCGATCGGTCCTTCACAAGGCTACTATGGAGGTGCCGACCATGAACATATTTTCTCAGTTGCGTTTTTTACTCGATCATCAGGAATGGCTGTAAGAAAGTGTGAAGTCAAGCACGCTGGATCCTACGATCTCTCGCCGTCTTAGCTCTGCGTGTGGTACCATGTGCATGCCTCCGCACCTCATCTGCGTCCCCCTTATGCCACTACGCTAGCGTCTGAAACCTGAATGAAATGCGCTCCTTGACATTGACCAACCTCGAAGAGATCACACGACCGACAGCCTGTAGCACGTGTGTGTGTTGGTGCGCTTTGCTCGTATATACTCATTGAGAGTGTGTGCATTACGCGGTGTGTGGACACAAGAGCGCAGTGGTTCGCCACTAGACGTATGTGGACCGTCTTCGCCATTCGGTCAAAGGGTGCGCGTTGTTTAGCTTCATTCGTAAGCAGTCGTCGTGTGGGTGCGACAAAAAAAAGCACAAGAGGGGGCGGGGATGGTGGGTTCAACACCAGCCAGCGTAGGGTGAATCGTAGCAGCCAGGAGTAAATGCGTTCGTCCAGGGAACGAATGACTGTATCCGTCCGTTCTAGCAACTTGTCTAGCTCCTAACTACAGCATCCGATGACGATGGCACGCACATGCTCGCGACGCTGCTGATGAGACCTTAAATTTGCGCCGCTTCTTGGAAGAGCCCGCCCCCTACTTCCCAAGAAATGGCAAGAGGCGTCTGGACCCGAATATTATTTTTTTTGGCTTTCGCTCTCAATTTCATGCTTCGCTCTCAATTTCACCAATATGCTGTTGTACGTGATTGGGCTCTGTTGCCAGAGGTGATTCGAAAGACATCGACATGTTTGCCCGAGGTGATCGGTGATTGGGCGATGTTGGCCCAGAGTTATCGGTGATCGGGCGATTAGTGCCCGAGGTTATCGGCGATCGGGCGATGTTTTGCACGAGGTTATCGATGATTGGGCGATATTTGCCCGGAGGAATCTGGGAGACATACGTGAAAGGGTGTTTCCACGAGGTGATCTGAGCCACGACGGTGAATAAGCTATGTTTGCCCAAGATGATCGGTGATTGGGCGATGTTTGCCGGAGGTTATCCAAAAGAGATCGATAATCGGGCTAAAGTTTGCCCGATTTGATCCGAAAGACATGCTTTGAAAATTAGGGCAGTTTTTCCCAAGGAGATCTGCAAGACACATACTCATGTATGACCTACAGGTGACCTAAAGGACTATGTTCGTTCCATGGTGGTTTGAAAGCCATCGGGGATTGGGGTGTGTTCATTCCATCGTGATGCGTACGATATGGAGTAAGGTACCATTATCGCTTTGAGATTGACATTTGCAGCGTAAGCACGACAGAAATAACTTGAAAAATGAAGACAAGCTCCATCGACAGCAGCTGCTGTCCTTTTGTGTTGGGTTTGGGATACTTGGTGAAACAACTCGACCCCCCTCCCGTCTTTCCTTCATTGCGCCTTCCGAGTCTGGCTTGTCTTCCGCATACACCCGTAAAGAGCGCCGGTCTGACTCACGCGCAAATACTGTTGACAGCGTATCATGTGTTTCGAGATGTCGATCCACTACATATGCAGTGTGTAAGGTTGTCTCTTTCATCAGTGCCCTCCGCGACTGTGGCTTGGTGGGAGTAATTGTTGCCCACCGACGTGGTGCGTAGCGGTTGTGGTTGGCTATAGGAACGTGCGGTTGGCGTGCAGTCCTGTACGTAAAATGCTGTGCTCTCTGATCCCATCGACGAAAGAGCAAACAACTGGCATGTGGGACGAACTCGGCACCACGTACAAATATTGCTTTCGCTGCAGCGCTCGAAGCTCACGCACGCCAGGGGAAACGAACATCGTTGGAGACAAGGGGATAAACTGCTGTACAGAACGCACCACTACTTAAGAACCGCTTGTTTAGCTTGAGGCTCGACGCTTATTGGTTTCCTCCAACCGAACACAGGTTCTTTTTTTCCAACTTCTTGTTTGGAGCAGGCATCCACCTCTGATACTCGGAGTTTTTGCTATTTCTGAGCCCATTGCCCTGAGCAGAAGACGCAGGTCTTTTCTGGGTGGATTTCATCACGAGACACTTCTACTGTTGTAAGGATACATTCACCCCCTAAATGGTAGTACCGCCTGTAATACGGTATGGGAGAGAAGAGGTTACCGAGAACGATAATAACTTGTGAGGCGACGTGGACAAACAAGAGGAATTGGGGTACGAACCCAAGGAGTGGGACATTGTTGTAGATGACGTATGTAGGGGGTTCGAAATTGACAAATATGATACACTGGAAACGGAAGGTCGAGAGGGGCTCAAGGAGAAGATATCTGTTGCTTTTGCCGACAGAGAAAAACGAAATCTAATAAGGGAAACCAAGGATAAGGGGTATGTATCTAGATGTGTACGGAATGTTGGAAGAAGGAACAGACAGATGTCAAGGCATCCCTACATGGCCCAAACGGATGCAGGGAAAAGCGGAAGGTCAAATTTAGGACTGTTTACATGAGCCTTCAAGAACGTAGACGAAGATTTAGGAAGGTACAGTAGACCATGAAGACGACAAATCCAGATGTGAATGCGACTCAGTGCGAAGACCACATGTTCATGTACTTGCGGAATGTCCGCTGTACGAGGAGAGGGAAAAGACGGAGGAAAAATACAATTCATTGACACAGAGCGCGCCACCACTTGCCCTTAGCAGCAGTTAAGAACTCGAGCCTCAAAGTATCCAAAATCAAACAACTTGGCAATAAACAGGCGGTCATCAGGCAAGACCCAACAAAATAAAAGCCTGCTTGAGAACCTGTTGAAGAGCCGTGGGCGTACAACCGACCCCCACCAAAATAACGACGGGCCTCTGCCAACATTATTAGGTTTGGCGTGTTCTGTATCGTTCGTATTAATGGGGAGGAGGGATGACATGTTGAATCCATAGACTAGATTAGACGGCATCCAAGGTCGACGGTTGGTTGTCATCGGTGATTTTGCTGGAAGCAAGAGTTTATTTAGTCTAGTCTAAAGACTTCTATCATCTGCTGTTCTTGGGATGCTGTGATCGGATAGTCAATCTATCAAGACACCCGTCACTTCGTCGCCGACAGCGAAAGCAGGGCCCATGACACTCAAAATATCTGTTTACCGGCAGTTCAGTTGTTGGAGCTAGATGTGTCTACCGGTACACACACGGCGGTTTATTGTGATCGGTGGCGAGATGACGTGGGCTTCCCTGTGTGTGCAGGATACCCCGTAGACAAATAGTGTTCAAGAAGCGGCACTTCCCGGTATCCAGCGCAAAAAACTTCGCTTGTCCGCCTAGAGTTCAGCGGACGGACTGGTTCGCCCTCTCTCTGCTTCACGCAACCCTCCGATCCGAGATTTCGGGACGAAAGGACTTTGTTTTCCCTGTGAAGAAGGAAATTGGCGGCTGGCGGCCGAGGGCGACCGCCGCAACCGGCCGGCAATCCTTTTTTTGTGGGCCCCCGCTGACCCTTGATGAGAACGCCTCGTGACTGAAAGCTGAAACCTGACGCTAATACAGCGTGTTTTTGATTCCGCCGCATTGTTGGTCTCCTGACAGCAGCACAGCGGAAGCAAGGCAGATTACAGCAGCCTCGGCGGCTCCACCGCCTGGCGTGCAGCGCGAAGGGTAGAAGGTGGATGAGCGTGCCATTGCTCGGGAGCAGCCGCCTTGATTCTGCAATCACCTGCCCGTAATATTGATATTCTCGCTGGGTAGGCCCGAGACGTTCTCTCTCGGCAAGCGGACAGAGGAGAGGCGGCCGAGCAAAAGCCCAACAACAGCAGGGTACACATCGGCGTGGCATTCTCCAGTTCAACGACAACAACAAACCTCCTTCGATATCTCGAAATACTTCACCGGCAATAGCAGCAGCAAACCGTTGCATAGGAGGTTGACATCATGCTTCGAGTGGGGGAGCGCGTGCTTCTACTCGCGCTGAGTGAAGAACGGGACAAGCACCCGCTGGGGTATCTGTCCTCGCGGCTGCTCATGGATGCTGAAGGTGGGCAGTGAGCAGAGGCAGCTGACAGCTAACCCAGCACCAACATCTCCGCCAGCAACAGAGATTGAAGGGATGAGTAGGAGATCTCAGCCGCTTGAAGTGCACAGCTTCTCTATGTGGTCAACTGCAGCAATTGGAGGAGAGATACATCGTTGATGTGGTTGTTTTCCCATCTACGAGCCAGAGTGGAGTTTATTCGATAAAGTTACACCATTAGACTAGTCAGCGCTGACTAGTCTAATGGTGTAACTTTATCGAATAAAAGATATGCTCAGAGCTCATTTGCACCCGGCTGGATCACTTGGGTCTGTATGGCTTGGATCTCCGGGGACGGACCCCTCGCCAGGCGCTGCAGGGAAAGAACTAAGGGTGCTTGTGAAAGTGGCCATCTGGGATTCGAACCCGTGCGTGTACCACTTGTTAGTAAAGGCTTACCCCATTAGACTACTGAGTCAGCCGTTCCCTGCAGCGCCTGGCGGGGGTCCGTCCCCGGAGATCCAAGCCATACAGACCCAAGTGATCCAGCCGGGTGCAAATGAGCTCTGAGCATATCTTTTATTCGATAAAGTTACACTATTAGACTAGTCAGCGCTGACTAGTCTAATGGTGTAACTTTATCGAATAGAGTTATCTCCTGCATGCATGTCATGACCAGACTTCACCACACAATAGAGAAAACTAAATACGACTGATGTCGGGCCGGCGATAATTGTTTTTGTAATGATTGGAACCTGATTTAACTATCCTATCAAGTAGAAGAGGGGGCGTACCTCTCTCTACGTGCCCTTTTCCGAGAAAAAAAACGAAAGATTCGCGACCCGACCAACGGCTTCCAATTAATTGAAGAAGTTGTGTGAAGATAGACGATGCACAGCACGCGCCCATCTGGTTCGCGACCAGGAACGCACCCGCGTGCCGCCGTGTGACAAAAGAAAGAGTACATGTACATTGGTTGTCTCAAGCGCAACGCCCCCCCATTAATTTTTCGAAGATATTTCCCAGGTAGGACAATGAGCAACTTTGATAAAGTTTTTCGTTCTTGGGCCAGGTTTGTATGGCTGGGTTCAACTTTGAGTTGTTAGGATGGCAGACAGAAATAGGTACCACCCCGGAGTACAATTACCACGGAGACGGTGGTTATTTTCTCACACTTCAATCCAATATGAAGAAAGGAAACAACCTTCCCGCCGCAGGAACCTCGTAGTTACTACATTATGGTGTATTATAAGTGGAGGACACCATGAGGCGTCGCGCGTGCTGGCACGTTCAGGTTTGCTACTGGAGCTGAAAATCGAAGGGCACAGCAGCCTCTGAAAAACAGTCCGAAATCTGCGCCGGAGCCAAGCGGAATCCAACATTTATTTGTCACAGCCGTGCTAATCGCCACCGACGGTAACCCCCTGAATGGAGGGTTGTCAGCAGCTAAATAGTGGCATCAGCTACTGCTTCAAATACACAGTTCAGGAGATTTGGGTCAGTGGCGGCGAGCACAAGCAGTACAAGACACCGGGGGGGGGGGGGGG